GAAGGCTCTCCCAGCCTGCCTCCAGCCCTGTATGGGGCTGATTGCGCACCATGTCTCCCGAGTCCCTCAGGAGCATGGGAAAACACAAGTGCTTTATGTCCAGGGGGGGGGTCAGACACCTGCTGACCCACAGCCACCCCCCCTCTCACCAGTCATGCGTTGCCTCGGCAAGCACAGACGACGAGAAGGAGCCAGGCATGTCCAGGAGATAACATTTTATGAAGGAGCCTGGCGTAGACCAAGACGCCGACGCGCTCCAGGGGCTCAAATGGTTCTGTGACCAGAGCCTCGAGCACCAACGGCAGGTCCCACTGTAGGGCGGAGGCGTGCACTACTGGGCGCAGCCTCCTGACCCCCTGCAAAAACCGCGACATAAGCGGCTGACTGAAGGCTGACCTGCCTCCAAGTCAGGACTCTTGACTAACTTTTTTCCCCATCCTCCCGGAACCGTCCCGAAATACAATCTAAGCCGTCCCGAAATTAATGTGGACTTTTAACATAAATAAAACATCATACAAATCATTAGATGATAATTCATCAACCTTTTTATTTGAGTAAATCATTCAATCACATAAACAAAGGCCAAATATATTTAAACAAACACACAAACAAGAAAATTACTCTAATATTGAATCCAATCAAGTCCCATCCAATTAACAAAACAATCCAACACTCTGTCCTGAAGACAGAACCCAGAGTAACCACTAACCAGGATGACAGTCTGTAACACAGTCAGGAGACCTTTACAAACTGCCCCGCCCCCTCGCACACAGACGGGAGAGAGAGATCTCGTCTGGATTGGAAAGCTCGAAAATACATCATAGACGCATGTTGTAGTCTTATTGCATATTAGAAACGGAGTTGGCGAAATTAAAACTGCAAATGCGATATAATGTGTATGTAGCAATAATACATATAACATATATTTTTTAAATGTCTCCAGTACCGATAAAAAGTCCGATAACGTCGGAGCTTAACGTTACCACTGTCTTTAATAATTCCGGCCCGTTTAATACCGGGGCTCGGTACCCATCCCTACATGGGGAGAGACCATAGACTGTATATATAGAGAGACGCAGCATATTGCTAAGGACTAAATACGATGGAGAGTTCTCATCTCAGCCTTATAACCCATAGGGGATGAAGAGGAGTAAGTAAATAAAGAGGCCGGCGCTCCAGGGTCTGGTTCTGCTGTGCGTTTTTGTGATGTAACGGTAAAACATTTCAGAATTCCTCCGCGGGATGCCATTGTACATCACTCAACCCGCGAAATACACACACTCAGTACATAGCTAGACCCGCAAATTTGCGGGCACAGCCAGCTGGGCGGCTGGCTGACAGCAGCGGCACAGCTGTAGCTACATGTGTGTGTATTTCGCGGGTTTCTAAATGTTTTGTGCGTGTGTGTTTATGTTGACAAGGAGGTTTAATGTGCTACACAAAACGTGCAGTCGGTTTCATTTTCATCGCCATTTGTAGTAGAGTTAGCAGGGTATTTTTATTTTAACTCTCGTCCCAAATTCGTCCCAAAATTATTTTTTATCCTCCCCGACACTATTTTTTTCGGCCCCGGGACGAGGGGACGTCCTTAAGCTCGAGCCCTGCTCCAAGTCCCTCATGGCAGGACGAAATGGCTGCTGCATACACCTTAATTGTGGAATGAGCCAGCCCCCTGTCCACCAGTATCTGTAAGTAGGTAAGAATAGAGCCCAGCGTGCATGACAGAGGCTCTAGACTCCTTCCTTCACACCATCGCCGGAATCCCGCCCACTTTGGCCTGTAACAGGCTGTGGTGGATTCTGCTCCTGCTGCTTGGATAGTCTGAATAACGTTGTCAGACAGCCCCACCTGTCTCAGCCTGTCCCTCTCAGGAGCCAAGCCTGGAGAGGTTGGCCCAGAGTGGGTAACATCCCCTATTACCCCTGCTTCCTGAGACAGCGCTCCCCAGACCTGAGGAATAGCCCAGGGCTGGCCCACCATCATCTGTGTTACCCCGCGTCAGAGTCCTGCACGGGTCTGATTTTCAAGACCCGCTCCCGCCCCGCACCCGCGACGTGCAATACCGAACCCGCCCCGCTACCCGCACATATTGCCAATTAGTTCCGCAACCCGACCCGACCCGTCGGCACAAGATCCGCAACCCGACCCGAACCCGCATAGCCTATGAGCAGTGAAAACGTGCAATTATTAACACACGCAGTTTCATATTTGTCTCCGAAAGCGTGGGATGTTGGTTATTTCCTCCATCTAGGATGTCACCAAAAGCCTCCCAGACGTTGGATTTCGCTCTTGAGGAAGTGTTATTGAAAATGCTGTATTCTCCGCTAGAGAGCTTCACCTCAGCCATTTCGAATGTGGCGCGCACAGCAGCAGATTGATGCGCTGCAGAGGTTATGATTATGCGCGGTCCCGCGGGGGAGAGGTCTGAGGATTTTAAACATTAAACTAATTTATTATTATTTTAATATATTTATTATGCAATACCCGCGACCCGACCCGCATCATCTTTGTTTTACCCAGAACCGAACCCGGAAAAAAGCGTTTGAAAAAATACCACCCGCGAATCACCTTTTGTGCGGGTCACCCGTCGGGTACCCGCGGGTACCCGACCCGATGCAGGACTCTGCCCCGCGTACCACGGCGCCAGGCGGCGATCTGGGGCCACTAGGATGACTGACAGCTGCTCCCGCCTCACCCTATCCGGAAGGGGGGGGGGATAAGGTGCAGCGGTGGAAAGACGTAAAGCAGCTTCCTTGGCCATGGCTCGTGTGCAAATGCGTCCACCCCCAAGGGCGGATTGTCCCACCGGGCCAGGGAGAACCACAGGGCACAGTGGCTGTTGCGCCGATTGGCGAACAGGTCCACCTCTGCTCTCCCGAACTGAGTCCAGAACTGCTTCACCACCTCCGGGTGAAGCCTCCACTCGTCTGGCAGGGGTCCGCCTCTTGACATGAGGTCGGCCCCCCCGTTCTCCCGTCCCGGGATGTGCAGGGCCCTTAGAGACAACACAATCTGTGAAACCCACAACCACAGGTTCTCTGCCGCGGTCAACAAGGCTATTGAGCGGACTCCGCCTTGCCTGTTGATGTACGCCACTGTGGTGCGGTTGTCCCTCCTCACTAGCACATGTTTGCCCTGTATTAAGGGTTTGAAGTGCTGTAGGACCAGCATCACTGCTTGCAGCTCCAGGAGGTTGCTGTGCCGAGCCTCTGTCAGAGGCCAGCAACCACCTACAGCTCTCTCTAGGCACGTCCCCCCCCCCATCCTGTCACTGAAGCGTCTGTAAAGACTGTGATATAGGAGGTCACTTGCCCCAGTGGAGCTCCCCTCCGCAGATTCTCTGGGGAACCCCAGAATCGGAGGTTGCTCTCTACTGAGGGGGGGATGATCACCAGACGTCGTTTGTGTCTTGAGATCTAAACGAAGGCCGGTAAGCCACCTCTGTATGCGACGTGCATGCAGAAGTCTGAGTGGCACTACGGAGTGAGCAGCCGTCATGAGACCCAAACTTAACTTCAGCCATGAGGAAAAAATATTATGGCCTCCTTACTAGTATTATCAGGGATGCAAACTCATCAGGTATGGAGCCCCCCGACCCCACGGAATATCGGCTTTAAAATGAGGAATAACAGAGGATTTTAGCAGTCAGAACAACTAAAGCAGCAGTGTTAATAATAACAGAAACGCTAAAGAGTCACATCTAATAGAAATATATAAAAGCATTTATTTTAATTGTGTAGCAATCGGTTTATAATTCTGGCTGTTGAGCATTATGAAAATGTATTTTCATGCCTCTGTGCAAGGCGTAGTCTTTCTATCTTTATGGCATCTGGTGTAAAGTAACTAAATTCATAAACTCAACAAGTACTATACTTGGGTACAATTTTGAGATACTTGTACTTTATTTAAGTATTTCAATGTTTTGCTACTTTGTTCTTCTTCTCCTCTACAGTTCAGAGGTACATGGTGTACTTTGACTCCACTACATGTATGTAATACCTTTAGTTGCTTCACAGATGTGGATGAATGATGTGAAATATAATCAAGTGTTAAATCAGACTTTAGTTCCACCTGGAGTAAATTCACAAGCTCCTGCAGTATACAAAGTCTTTCAAACTAGCTGCACCTTTACCAGCTTTGAGAACACTTTCATGATCAATCATTATAAAACATATCATATATTATTCTGAAATGGACCAATCTGCACAACGACTACTTTTACTGTCGCTACTTTCACTATATTTTGATGAGAATACTTTTCTACTTTTACTTGAGGAACATTTTGAATGCAGGACTTTTACTGTAACAGAGTATTCCTACACTCTGGTACTTCTACTTTTACTCAAGTACAAGACCTGAGTACTTCTACTTTTACTCAAGTACAAGATCTGAGTATTTCTGCTTTTAATCAAGTACAAGATCTGAGTACTTCTACTTTTAATCAAGTACAAGATCTGAGTACTTCTACTTTTACTCAAGTACAAGATCTGAGTATTTCTGCTTTTAATCAAGTACAAGATCTGAGTACTTCTACTTTTACTCTAGTACAAGATCTGAGTGCTTCTACTTTTACTCAAGTACAAGATCTATACTTATACCACCTCCGTTTATAGCCTATGAAAAAAAAACTATTAGAAAACGAAGGCTAAAGCTAACGTTAGCAGATAGTGTCAATGTATGCTAGCTAGCCAGCTCAACGATAATATTGCGACAGAAAAACTTTTCAGTGCACATCACGCTCTGCGCTCCGACAGGGAGCTCTGCTCTGAACACCTGAACGGCCCGTTCTAACAGCTGTTCACCAGCGGTCCAGTCTGTACCACAGTGACTCCGGACCGCACAGTTAATATTAACGAACGCACCCGTAGGTAATGTGGCTGCTGAAGCTAGACCATCATCGCGGAGCAGCAGAGCCGACAGGCAGGAAGACTCGAGCACACAGCTCGCGCTGCATTATAATATATAAAAAAAGAACACCATGCGTGTCATGATGGCACATAACAGCTCGCGGCCGCAGATTACTCCGGGTCCCAGACCCTCCCATACCCCAAAAATATTTTTATTGCAGATCTACATGAATCACACAAACGACCTATTTTGGATTCAAAACGGCGAATTTCGTCGAAAGGTGAGTGATTTTCATGCCTGATAGTGACTTACATCACACATCCTGATAACGTTGGAGGAATCCTCTGCAATAAATATTGGAAGACCGAGTAGGGCAGCCGTTCTTCTGTTCTGGTTTGTGTCCTCCAGGGAGGAAAAAGACAAGGGTAGGTCAGTATGATAGCCAAGCTAGAATCCTTATCTTTGCACATTTTTGGTAATAGTTTCTCTGTAAAATACTTGCCTCTTTCTGAAGACACTGCAGAACACCACTCATGGCCAACCTTCTTCCAGATGCTACAGCAGCTTTGTAAGCCTCCAACAGACTTGGAACCATGGCATCTAGTCCTTCCAGGAAAGATTTCAGCAGGTCTTTGGTGACAATTCTGCTGAACTCGGCACATAGCTAAAACATACAAAAGAAACAAACAGAGAAATTACATGAGTGAGAGAAAAATAAGAGCAAAGTTTGAATCTTCAAACTGTAAAATGAAGTTCCCTCGGAGACCAAGAGTGTTGCGCAGTTTTGCACACAGATCATCAACTGATGAGGGAACATCTTCTAGGGTGACACGCCTTATATCTTCAGGTGAGAGGATAACTCTGAGAAGCATCATTGAGGTGTCTGCATCAGCTGAAACACAGTGAACAATATAGAAAACACTTTATCATCAGGAAATAAACACTGGAAGTGAATTGAAAATAAGTTGCACGTAATAAAATGTACGGAAGACACTAAAAAAACACTTCCCAGTCCAACTTTACCTTAATTTAACATGAATGTCCTTGGAGTGACAAGCAGCTTTCCTTCCACAAGCTATGCAGCACGAGGGGTGCAGTCATTCAGATGGTCAGGCTCGACACCCAGTCACTGCAGGGCCTCTTCTGGCAAGCTGGAAACACCCGAGATGAATCACGAAGGCTGCTGTGAATAGTTCCATAATAAATCATATGCAGCAATCCACTACACAGATATCGAGTACTCTCCCAAAATCTGGCAGTCCACTTGTCTGTCCAACTGAGAGCACCATTCCTTTCGAATATTTTGTCCCATTTAAGTAAACAGTGGAGGTGAGAGAAACAGAGTTCAGATCTTGAAACTTACTCCTTAAGGCCTCTCTGATAGCAACATCTAAGATGTCCACAGATACGATTGATGATTTCCCAGTCTCAATGCTTGGTTTGAAAATTGTTGGCATCTCCAAATAATATGCCAACATCAGCTGATGTCTTGTGGCTAAAGTGTGCAGAATATTTGTGAAGTTGCCAGTATTGCGAACCACCTGTTTAAAGAAAGAATGTTTGGCCTCAAATCTTATTGTCCAGACCAAGACCAAGTTTCTTGATCAGTACCGGATAATGTTCAAGATAATGATGCTTGGGACATAATCTTGTACCAGGAAATATTTCCAATAGCGAAGTCTGTGGTCAGAGATGTTTGCTTGTAGGTAGCAGTTACCTACAAGCAGTAAAGGTTGATAGTATACTCGACTTGAATTTGAATTTTGACACACATTTGTTAGCTTCTTTAACATGTTCTTTCAAATGTTTTTTAAGTAAAGCTTGGGTTTGAAAGCTTTTCAAACAGTCTTCATAAATCCTGAACACCTCCGATGATGTCCATGACGCTGTTTATAATGCTGAATTATTCTTCCTTGCCAATTGGAGGAGAACGTACAAAACTTACATTTCCACTTCATGAACTGGACATGCTCGTTCACACCTGTAACACAAAATAAATGCACGTTATTTACCTTGATATTGACCTTCCACAAATATATTGGTATAAGCATTTATGTTTTCATATCAGCAGAGATGAAAAAAATGGCTAAAAAAATTACAATAAAGACAATTATGCTTGGGGTGATTCAAATGTACGTTCCAGTGTTCAGGTTACATTTGTAAAAGCAGTTGCCCCCTATCTCTTCAAATCATACCACAGCAGTAGCGAGTTTCATGCAGCAGAGCGGTCAAAGATGTCACTGTTTGTTATGTTTTTAATATTACGTTATTATACAGGGCCGCCCCTCCCTACACGCAGATCAGACTGTGAGGCAGACTGAGGCGAGGCAAAATGTGGCTCATTTTTCGGAGGGAGCCTCATCTGAAGCGCAAACGCGGCGCACATACAGCGCGCCACAGTTTCGCCGCTGTGTGCGGAGCGTCCACACAGCAGCGTGCGTTGACGCTTGGAGGTGGGCGTATCTGAAGCTTGGGGATTTTTTGCGAGCAACGCGACCAACAACCAATCACCTGAATCTCCCGCCCCCGACATACAAAGCAATAGCAAAGTTAAAACGAAGTAAACTGGATATAAAATCCCCAAACAGGCGAAAACCTACCAGTTTCACCCACTGTCTCTGCCTCCTCCCTCCATGCCTCGTTCCTCCGGTTTGTATCCCGGTAGATCAACAGAGACTGATCATACAGCTCCGGGTGATTCACTACCGCTATAATTAATTTTCCCTCCCATTTTTTTGAATATGAGGAAATGACCTGCGTAGTCTCTCCCAGCATACACGCGGTTTGATTGGCTAGCGGTTGTACTGGCAGATTTGCATAAACGGGATTTCATTGGCTGACGCCTCCGTGGAGGCGTCAAAAGTTGAACATTGCTCAACTTTTGACGCCAGCTACGCCAGCAACGCTCCACGTCGCTTCCCAAAATGCAGTTCGGCTAAAAGTGACGTCACCCCATTCAAAGTGAATGGGCAGAAGCGTTGGAAGCTTCAACGCACGCCGCTGTGTGGACGGGCCAGAGGCTCCACTAGTCCCCCGGCACCTCCCGCACCCCAACACCCCCTGACTTCCCGCGTACCTGCTGCTATCCCTCTCTCTATCCTACGCCCCACCCAGCTCCCGACGCTCTCTCATCTGCTCTTGGATGCCCACACACTACGTACATTACGCACCGCACTATTCCCGAAAAAGCTAAGCTACTCTCATGACATTTTGGTATGATACTTAAACTTATAAAGTAATAGTTTGAATATCAGACACACGAAAACCCAACACAAATGTCGTCTCCGTGTCTCCTCTGCCCTGCCCCCCCCCCCCCACACACACATACACAAACGCAGAGCGGAGAGAAAAAAGGAGACAAGGTAGATCTCCCTCCAAAAATGTTAGTTGCCTCCAGGGTCTGCAGCATGCACCACATGATTACACGTCTTTAAATGTATACAGTTCATAATAAATTGTATTTTTTACTGGTCAATATTAAACCCAAAGTGCACGCACAGCCATTAAAAGTGACAGTATCGCTCCCTTATCCCTGACTGTGTAGCTAGCGGACAGCGAACATTGCTAATGGCAATTTAAGCTAGCAAACTTACCACTTAATTGTCAAAGCAAACCTAAATGTCGAAGTAAATTAAGAACTTTAGTAGCTCATAATTAAAAACAAATATTAACAGTTAAAAACAAACCCATTTGCTTACACTTTAATATGTTTAGCTTTCTATCAATATTAGTACTATTAGTCCACAGATAACTTCATACTCTTTATTTGTTCAACCCGTAGTAGTAGCAGGCAAAGAATTAAAGGTTTTAAAATCATTAAAACTTACCTCCGTTACTGTCTTGCAGCAGAAATAAACAGTAACGGTCCTAGCAGGTGTTTCAGACTGTAAGTTAACGTATCACTCCGCCTCGGTTGGATCACCGCTGCAGGTTCACAGAGTTCCTCCGCCAGCGGCAGTAGTCCTCTAATTTAGATAAAAAATGTGTCTTTACTTTAGTCCGAATTAAAACATGACATCTTTAGGATATACCAGTTGGTTACATCCATGCTTAAACATTGCATTCAGTTTAGGGAGGAGGTTTTTTTTTAAAAACTCAAATGTGGAAGCATACGTTTTTTTCCGTAGCTCTCAAACCTGCACTCCCGCCTTTTTCTTTTGTTTCTTTTTTCAACTGATAATTTGCTAAGGCAAGTTGAGTCAATGTGACAAAATGTTTAAGTTGTCAAGACAGTGAATAAATGTAAGTTTAACCTTCTAAAACTAGAAAAGCTGAGTTCAAAATCAAAAACTTGTCAGAGCTCTTTGAATTAAAGAGACAATGTAACTTGACATAACTAAATGGGGCTGTGATGTTTTACAGCATAGACACTCACCCTGTGTTCTGATTGGCTGCAGATTGTCTCTGTGGGAGTCGCGCGTCCTGGTGCATGGTGTTGATCGGAGCTCTCCGAAGACAACCCCCGGTGCTCTGTAGCTGCTGCAGGTATCTCTCTGTCACTGCTCGACTCCAGCTGATATAGTGAAAGGATGGCAAACTCTAAAGGACCCACCACCGAAATTAATTACGTCTACAGGGGAACATTTATCCACTCTACCCAGCAAACACCGCTGCAGATCTTGGAAGATGAGGTCCTGGGAGTGGATACAGATGGAAAGGTTTGTCACACTCGAATGTCTAACAGCCTCAGGTCTGATTACTATAAATAAGTGTTACTATTTATGCTATTAATATCAGTGTATGAAAAAAGCAATGCGTTAAGCCTTTTCCTCTTAATTAATAAATAGGTTTAAGCTAATTGTGACTCATCCATAACCTTGCGCAAAGAGACACAATTTGGCACACAGGAATAAAAAATAGATTTCCAAACGGAGAAGGCGTAAATCTGTTGCATAATATCTTAATTGTATACCACATTAAGCTGTTGCTGAGCAACTTTAAAAAACGCCAGGCCCTTGGAAATTACCACATAACAGTTTGAAGTAGGCTACCCTCTTCAAATACAAAAGGGATAACAATACTAATGAAGTCCTTAAAACACCCCAAGCAATCACACATGTGTCTTTCTCTCTTCTTTTCAATACAAAGTATTTTTTTCGGACATTGTGTAAATCCTACACTGATATTTACAGACGTGGATACAGTGTAAAGAGTATATTGAAGACCTTTACACAAAACGTGTGTTTTTGTACAGAATGTAACATTGATGCAATTTGTTAGAACATGTGTTAATGAATATGTATTGTAACCTTAATGATAAATATAAGTATGATGTTTTTTCACCAAGTTAACAGCTTACTCTCTTTTGCATACAACCACTTATTTCTAATCATTGCCTCTTTTACATTGTGCCGTCAGATTGCTTTCATTGGGAAAGCTGCAGAGTTAGACAGCCTCTCTCAGACCTTTGGGTTCAGTCCTTCAGAAGTCATTCAACTGGCACAGCAGTAAGTTGAATATATATATATATATATATGAATGACTGAATATATGCTGCATTAGTATGTGGCTATTAGATCAGCAATCTGCATATAAAACATACATAATTCAGCGTATTTGAACCATACTAATGGCTTGCTGCATTGCAGTGAGTTCTTCATGCCCGGATTGGTGGACACCCACATCCACGCGCCCCAGTACAGCTACGCTGGCACGGCCCTGGACATGCCCCTACTGGAGTGGCTCAATAAATACACCTTTCCTGTGGAGTCACGCTTCAAGGACTTGGAGTTCGCCCAACAGGTCTACTCTCAAGTAGTGGTGAGTTTTCTGGCATCATGATTTAAGCGGCCAATAAAAATTATAGAGCTGCCGTGGATCATTCACAGGAAGTCAAAATTGAATTATGTAACGCAGGCATGTAAATCAGGTTTGAAATGTTGATGACTTTACCATTTGCAAAAGTAGAAATTCAGTAAGTAAGGTTTCCTCCATTGTTGCACAGACAATATCATTTGAGAAGGGTGTGAACCGTTTAAAAGCTTAACAATGTATACAAAAGATAGACAAATGAATGTGCTTGAATGTGGGAATGTTTACCTTCGTGTAATATAATCCCTGTGTTTTTCAGAAAAGGACCCTGAGGAATGGAACAACCACAGCATGTTACTTTGCAACCATACACACAGATGCCTCTTTGCTGTTGGCCCAGATTGCAAGTAAGATGTCCCACACACACACACACACACACACACACACACACACACACACACACACACACACACACACACACACACACACACACACACACACACACATGCACATGACACAAAAACTGGCACTGTTGCATTTTATCATGGTAAAATGCCAGAAGAGTTTACACCATACTCCTGTAAACATTATCTAGCCTCAGGGCAGGTGACTAATGGATGGTTACCAATTTAGGCTGTGCCCTTATTTGAAACAATTGGAGATTTTGCTAAAATAAATCAAAATGTAGGAATGTATGTAATATTATGTAAGTTTGTTGTGATATATTTAGTTCTTAGTCAAAGTGATGTGGTGCATAAAGACAGAGATGGTTTTATCGGACATATTCAAGCTGTAGTCGTCATTTTAAGAAGAGCACACATTGAGTTACTGGATCTATTTGTTTTGTTTGAGTGGGTGGAGAGTATGTAATATGGCGATCTATCAGATTACGCCCTTTGATTATAATTGTGTGTTTATAACCCTCAAAGTGGTGCAGAGCAATCAGCTGACATGTTTTTCTCTTTGAAGTTAAACTAGTCCCGTTTCCCTTGGTAGTCTCAACTGGCTTATAGGAAAATGTTTCTGGCTCACCCTTTATGCCTTGTTCTTATCACCATGTTGTCATGTTGTGTAATTCTGAATACACACCCTTGCTTGAGTGTAAAGGGACCCAATCATCGTGGCTTGGCTGGCTTTAGCAACCGTGCAGAGTCACTCCGTGTCATCAGGGCTGTTGAACCCCCACCTTTGTCCTCTGTCACGAGCATCTGTCCTATTTTCTACAAAAGTGTTTGTATTCAGTGTGAGGACTGTGTGTTGATTAACATGTTGGAGAATTTCAAACACTTATTTAGCATGTATGCCTCATTTTCTTCTGGATTTGTTTTTATTTTAAAAAGTGTATATGAAGAATACAAAGTATGCATACAAAATCCATTATGTAATATTTTCTCAGGCAAGAATTTTGTTGGTTTCAAAGTTCAGCAGAGAAATCCGTTATACATGCACATTTTCTGCCTGATTTGAGTGGAAATGTTTCGGTCACAGACGCACAAAGCTCTTTCACAGTCCCTGAGTGAACTGATGTATGGTATGTGTAACATTAACCTTCTTAAAGCACATCATTATAAGAAGGTATCCCCTCTCACAGGCCCCCTTTCACACTCCACCATCATTTGTATTGTGTATAAATGGTTAACATGACGTGTTGGCCATAACTCCCAGAAATCCTTGGTAATGTCCGTAGATCATTTATAGGTCCTGCAGACCAAGTGTCAGCAAACCAGCCTGCACATTTCCAGGACCCTGAATCTCCTCTAGCTCACCTGAATTCAATACCTTTACCTGTCCTTTTCCTGCTAGTAGTCAAAATGCCTGCTGGGAAAAAAGCTCTTTCACACATCTACTCAGATGGAAGACTTGATTAACTATATTCTGAATCAAATTCACCAATAAGAATGATAAGGAAAGTCAGAATGATGCAATCAAAGCCTTTGCACACTCACTCTTGTGAGCTAGAATAAGTGAAATCATCTATGTGTGGTTTATCAAGAAAGTGTTGGCCGTGCACATCAATGTCCCTGAAATACAGTTGTGGCTGCGACTGTTAATGGATTCATACAAAAATGATCCTTGTTTGGGAAGGATTAATACAAAATGTATGTCAAATGTTTACAATCAAATGATTTCCTTTTGTTCTGACATATATTTAGTACGGTCCCAAATGTTCCCAAAACAGATCAGAAGCTAAAACATGCTGATCGTGATGGTTCAAGTGATAAGTCTCAAGTGATAACCTTTCAAATGCATGACCTTTTGTAAGAATACGGCGTGTATTTGATGGAGATGCAGGTACTTAGCTGTGTGGTGCACTCATGTATTGGTATGTGTGTCTGTGGGAGCATTCTTACAAAAATACGGGGATTAGTGTTTGTGAGTGACAGCAGGACTTGACTCTGACACATGAAGGACCTGGAATGCTTTTACATGCTGCAGGTGACAGGTGAAACTATGAAGATTGTTGAAGTGCAAGTTTAATCGTTGCACAATTACTGCTCTATGGAATGATAATAACAACATTGTTTTTACCAAAAGAGAAATCAAAAACCTATGGAATCTCAATGAGGACTAATTTATTTTGCTTAAAATATCCAACATCAGTATGTAAAGTAAAGCTAGCTCCACCTTTACCAGCTGTGATGAACACATTAATGCATCATGCCGTAATGTAAAATGTGATACACGATTGGCCATTTTGTATAACGAGTACTTTTGGTTTATTAGTATATATTGTTGGTAATACGTCTGTACTTTTACCTAAGTACGGTTTTGTATGCAGGACTTTTACTTGTACCAGAATATTTAAAAATACTTAAGTTAAAGAACTCACTTCACTTCTTCCATCACTGCCAAATATTTTGAACACATTTGTTGTTAGGGTTAGGTAACCGGGGGTTTTGGCTTAACGGGTTACTGTGTTTTCCTGTTCTTGTTACTCATCATCCTTATTCGTCTTGCAGATGACTTTGGGCAGCGTGCCTTGGTTGGGAAAGTGTGTATGGACAGGAACAATTCTGTGAAACATTACAAAGAGACCAATCAGGAGTCCCAGGACGAAACCTGTCGGTGGGTATCAGCTTTTACTAAAATAGTGATACAATGGGTGTTTTAAACAGGAGATGCGGCTTAAAACAGAGTGACCCTTTTGAAACATTGCGTAACATTGATAATAGATGATTAATTTGGAATAGAGTAGTGAATGTTTTTTCCAGTCAGAAAAAAATCACTGAGACTTTAGTCACACTGAATGTTTAAAATGTGTGTGAGTGAAGTTTTCAGTCGTACCACTCAAAGCTACCACAGTATATCTTGAACAGATAGAGACAGATGTGTCACAGAAAGTTGGGTTGTACTTTGCCGTGAAGATGTATGTTACAGATTAGATATGTCCCTCTAGACCCTTTTTTCCACATGACCTACAACCTTGAAATTATGCAGACTTTACCCATAGACGCTGAATGTGAGAAAGCTAAATTATGGGTGAGGAAAATCCCTTTTTGACGTCGACTGATACTTGAATTACACATGTGCACATCACAGAGACTGTACACCTAATCTGCAGTCACACTTGCCTCATAAACCTTTGTTCTTGCCAATAAAACAATAACGATTTTATATGGAGACCTTTACAATCCCTTGCAAAACTTACATTCTTGTAAAAAGAAAAAGGGTGCATTTTCAAATGTTCAAATGTGGCTGCTAAAAATTAGTTAAATCTTTCTTTTTTCCCCTCCAGGTTCATTGCAGAGCTCTTGAACAAAAAGGTAAGATTCTATATTACAATAAACAGTCAAACTCAAGGTAGGCCTGCATTATAAAGACATCTTCTGAAACCCTGTCTCCTCTGGTGTGTGTGTAGTATCCTCTGGTGAGGCCGGTGGTGACTCCCCGCTTCGCTCTTTCGTGCACAGGAGCCCTGATGGGACAGCTGGGAGCCATCGCTAAGAATAACAACCTGCACATCCAGGTGAGATCACTGTGGGAACCAAACCGGGCCATCTCCACAGGGGACTGTCGCCGTGGATACCATTCACTGTTGGACCAGTGGGGGTTTTGGAAGATGAATTACAAATACACACATGCAAAACGATACTCTCCTGCACACCTCAGGCGGAATAATCTGAATGCTACACCCCAGATTCTCTTAAAGTAACAGTTTAATGGGTTTTTTTCCAGAGTCACATCAGTGAAAACGTAGAGGAAGTGAAGCTTGTAAAGGAGCTGTTTCCTGAATCTAAGTCTTACACAGATGTGTATCACAAACATAACTTGCTCACTGACAAGGTGAGTCACATTTCTGCTGGCACACACGCAAGCAGACGTTTTGTAGAAAAACATAAATGCAGATTAAAGTGCTAAATATGATGATGGTTCACAGACAGTGATGGCTCACGGCTGCTACCTCAGTGATGAAGAGTTGGCTCTGTTCAGAGAGACAGGAGCCTCTTTGTCTCACTGTCCCAATTCCAACATCTCGTAAGTCTCCAATAGTTTATCAAAACCATTACACAATTGTAAACTTGAATATACTTAATGTGTCTAACTGTTACAGTGTGTGTGAGTCAGCTGACAAGACATGGCCCAAAGCTATTTGCCTTTGCATTTCTGTTAAAACAGTCTCTATGTGACGTCTGATGAATGTCATTTTTCCAATAGGAAAGCAATCAAGCATTACAGATTGACTTCGTTATATAACATATGAAACTTATCATATCCCTCTCTTTCTCTATTGACTCAGGCTGTGCAGTGGAATGTTGAATGTCCGCAACGTCCTGAAACACAACGTGAAGTTGGGGCTGGGAACAGGTGTGAGCATTTACCAGATTTTATTTTCGTCAATTTATTGAACATGTCAGAAACAAAACATACAACAATAATAATAATATATATATTCTTTTTTTTTCTTACTCATAATAATAATTATAACAAAGTACAAATAATAATAATAATACAAATAATTCTCAAATAGTCTCTGTCATGTTCAACAGGGGCAAGAAGAAGCTTAAAAAAAACTTTTCTGGTCCTCCCCCCTCTAGCATACATTTTCCTTATAAATAAAATATTAGGTCATCGTCATCAGCGACATGTTTGTCTTGTTAATATGTTTTTTACAAAACAATCAGAAAGAAATTACTTTTACAATTACAAGAAATAGCAAATGGGATTGTACCGGTCCTGTTCATAACCATTCATGATTTGGCTCCTAAATAATACTTTCAGTTTAGATAGACTTGTACAATATTTCAGTGCATCATTACAGTTATTCCACAGACTAACACCTTTTGATGAGATGCAATGTAGTTTGGCATTTGTTCGTACGGGAGGTTTTTTGAAAATGCAGTTTTGTGCATGCTTTCTCTCCGTGTGAAAAGTCCCTGGATATTATGAGGTAATTGTTGATTTGCGGCTTTGAACATCATTTGAATAGTTTTATAGTCAACCAGGTCTAAGTGTTTTTTTTGATAAATAATGTATTTGTTGGTTCTCTGTACGTAGTTTTATGTATAACTCGTATGGCTCTTTTTTGCACTCTTGACAAAATGTGTTTGGGACACTAAAGAAGCATGAAAATTATGTTTGATGATTTGGCTTGTTTTGGGAACTCCATGCACTGTAGATTTAAACGTGCACGAGATAGGTACAAAGATATTCCTACTAACTTGTGTTGTGTTTTACAGCCGTCATCATTTGAGTGTTTTAGTGCAGTCAACAAAGAGATGTGGCATGCAGGCTGGCTCACCATCAGCTGATTACTTTTAATGGGTGATCTGATCTGGTTTAAATCTCTAACTGAAAGTGAGATCCAAATACCTATTTGTGAATGTTTGTTTTAGCTAACATTTTCTAAGTTCCCAGGACACTTAGTCAACAAGGATATCTTATTTCTTATTCAGAACTCCAAACTTTTTGTGAAGACCCAATGTATTCCTATAGTAAAACTTGAACATTGTTTTATTGGAAGTCAATTCCAGCGTCAAGCCATTTTATTTCCATCCAAATTGCATCTCAACCGGTTCACTACCACCTTGATGATTCGGAAGTAGGCCATTTGTTATAACACTGCAATAAATAACTAAAACGCTGTTGCAAAACTAAAAGACAAGTCAACATGATTACATGGTCAAAAAATTAAAGTTAAACTCTGTTTGGCCATGTGCCCTGAAAGCACAGCACTATCACCTGTGGTAAATAATAACACAGTCCACCTATATCAATATACACAAAACTATACATACGGGTCGGTATTCATTTAAATGCAATGTATATACTTCAGCTTTACTCATGGTAGTACTGCTACTTCATTACTGCTACTATAACAGCTATTTCAATGCCCATGCTGTAACAGCACTGTTGATGCAGCTACCTCAGTATTGCCTTTTTACATATTTACCTACTTTTAACAATGTTACCTTTTATTTTTGTTCCATGTTGTGCACTTGTTTTTTTTACATTTGCTTTCTGTTACTCTTCTACTCTTTAAAACATGTAATCGTATGTCTGCATGCATGCTTGTATTAATGTTCAGGGGGGTGTTTGTGGTGCTTCATCAGACGTGGCGGGAGGCTACTCGGCCTCTATGCTGGACGCTGTGAGGAGAACTCTGGACACATCCAAAGTGTTGACCATCCAGGACCCAGAATACGACACGCTGACCTTCGAGGAAGTGTTCAGGCTCGCCACACTGGGAGGCAGCCAAGGTGAAACCATCTCAGGAACAAAAGTGTCTTTGTTCAATTAAAACATGACCTGTTTTCAGACACACACTCATATTCTCCATCAACATTCTCGCCTGACTCAGCACACATGAAGGACTGTGGGAACAAGATATTGTTGATGGTGACTGATTGCAATTTTTACGGGTGTGGAGAAAATAAAGCAGTTTCTTTTGTGATGCATTTTCTCCGTAGCTTTGTCCCTGGATGACCGGACAGGGAATTTCGAAAGTCGGCAAAGACTTTGATGCCCTGAGGGTGAATGTGGCTGCTGCTGATGGACCTATCGACCTCATCAAGATCGAGGAACCAAAGGTTGGTAGTCTGGTTTAATCTTGATCTTTTTGCACATAAATGAATTAAAGCAGAACATTTGCTTTCAGTGTTGGCTAATTTATTGTCACTTCAATTTCAGATTATTTTGGAGAAGTTCTTGAATTTGGGTGAGTGTCAATTTCTGTTTATTTGTCCAAATGTTTTACACTTTGATGTGATAATCCCCTTTTAATTGTATTTGTCTCTGTGACTTCTTCGACAGGTGATGATCGCAACATAGTCGAAGTGTTTGTGGCCGGGAGAAAGGTTGTACCATTTACAAAACAGTAAATGCTTACTACCGAAAAACATGAACATCTGAGTGATACAATATGTGCAGCCAATGAAGTATCAGAAGGAAATGCCCTAGTTTTGCATGAACTGCACAGCTGCACTGTCTGCTTTTGATGATAGGAACGAAAGTAGGAAATTAATTATTACCATGTTTTACTGCTACTGCAATACAAAAGTGTGGTCCGCTGAGCTTGAAGCTGTAAAGGGGGAACTACTGGACTTTAAAACAGGAACTAAGGGACTTATTAAATGTTGTGAACTTGTGTTTCTTCATTTATGCGTGCTAAAACACCACAATCACGCATCAACCCTTTGCTGATTAACTTGTCACTTTTTATGTGCAGTGCATGTTCACATTGTTGTAGACTTTTATTAACCTGAACTGCTTGTTTAAACACATATACAAGTACTACTGATGGCAGCGTGCCAACTGCAACTTATCTTCTGTTGAATGCTGATATCTCATTGTGTTGCCTTGAGAAATTTGAACTGGAGAAATCTCGATAACATTAAGTGACATATTAACGTATAGGACTTTGTTCAGTGTAGCTGCAGAGCCTGACATGATTATCTTCAGTGGTTTGGCGATTTCATTTTCATGCTTGTGTAGCTTAAACATCATTTATGATCAAAGACTGGGATTGACTTGAGTTGTAATCATTGCTCTTTTAGTTTGTACACTGTACACTCCACTCAGGTGTTTAAACTATAATGGCACAAAACCATTTAATAGAAATATTTTAGTTTCAGTATGATTCATTCAGTTTATTACATTTTACATCTGATTGCAGCGCCATGTGTGGTGAAATGAAGGGCTCATGATACACAAATGAGTTAAAAAGTGTCCATTCCAGTTATAGGATCGTTCTCTGTGCTTCCAATTACCTCAAATCAGTGCAACTCAACATGGTTATGATGTATATCAGTTATGTTTGATACAGCTTTGTATTACTAACCTTATCTACTAGTTAAATCCATGTTTTACTAAAGAGATTGTTGATTTATTTGATTGTCAACCTAATGTATTTTACTTGTGTATATATATATATGTGATATAATCTTTGTTATGAATGTTGGGAATTGAAGGGAAATTAATTGGATTGCTTAATATATGTTTGTCCTGTGCTTCTTTTTTACTAAAGTATATTACATTTTTATCACAACATATCAGTCTATGACACCAAATCCTACATGTTAAACGTATTTTTTGATAGGTCACACTATGGATATTGAAATAAACAATACAACAAAGTCTGTTTGGATACTTTTTGGGTGTGCAGTTGTTTGACGATCAGAAACTGGTACAATGTTTGCATTAACAAACTGTTCTTCCAGCCCGTAAACAGCCCAGTCTACAGCTTTTTTAAGAGACTATCTTCACCATCTGGGCCAGACAGCTGAGAAGCTGAGGTAGCAGAAGAAGTGACATTAAGATGGCTGTTGTCAAGTCTCACTGACATCAAGGCCTACGCTCCACTTCAAATAGACTGTACTACCTGAAGGATTCTTGCTTTATTGAGTTGTAAATGTAACGAAACTAAAGTGTAAAAATACTCAGTTACGAGTTAAAGTCCTGCATTTAAAACCATACTCACATATACAAATATTAGAATCAATTATAGTATTAAGTATTAAAAGTGAAATTACTTATCATGCAGCATTTCAGATTGATCAAGTTTAGGCAAGGGGTTCCCAGCCCCCTGTAGCTGTGAGTTTATCGTAATATTTTCAGAATTATAAATATATAAAATATTTTATCATAATATTTTTTTCAAAAAGTGTTTAATGTTCGCACCTATACCAGTCATATTATTTCCTCCAGTAGCCTAGTTAATCTTTCACCAGATAACCGTTGAAAATGGCTTTTATGATGTTCTGAGGGATTCGGCGGCTCAGCCTGGTCTCAGCCTCTCGTGCGCACGAGAAGCCGGTGCGCCAAGGAGGAAGAGGAGCGCACAGGAGACAACCGTTTAATTGCAGACTGTTATGTTTATGTGGGGAAATGGCAGTGCATACATTATTTGAGATATATTTCAAACTCGGACTTCATTTTAAGGACATGTCGGCCAGGGGTGTATAGCTATATGTTTATTTTATTAGCTTTTCTTTTTAATGACTGATTTTAAATGCCATTTTCTTAATGTCTTTCATTTTTTTGTAAAGCACTTTGAATTGCCTTGTGTTGAAAAGTGCTATATAAATAAACTTGCCTTGCCTTTGTCTAAGCACTGGATTGGCAAAACAGGAGAGTAAACCAGTCTTTCTTTGTTGAGGTTTAGGATGGCAGCTTCTTCACGCTGAACTCGGAGAGAAATATTGGAGACGGAGACGATGAACTGTTTAGCCCTTGAGCATGATTTATTCCTCTGCTTCACAGGTGATTCCTTCGCTCAGCCGAGCTAACTTAGAAGAGAACAAACATAGACAGTGTACACGTGCATCAGGTGAACACACCCTCATTTACATGACGCAAGACTGGTCATTACGTAGCACGTAATCCTACAGTGCCTCACACTGGTACAATAACAGTATTACATCCCTATAGTACAGAATAGACACAATCTCGAGTCTAGTCTATACATACAATAACTGAGGACATATGTAAACATTTCCCTTAACACCCCCACTTGTTCTCAGGTTGCTGTACTCCAAAAATGTAAACAAAATGAAAATGTGGACCTCCTCACACATTTTAAACTCCAAAAACGATTCCTGCAAACTTCTTCAGTTTCAGCTTAGTTACAGGTTTTGTCATTATGTCTGCCACCATCTCTTCAGTAGGGCTAGGGCAGTACACCAGAGTGAGTTTTCATAGACACAGTGGTCTGCTGGGTTCTGTGCAAAATCGTCTTCAGTTAAACAATCGTGCAAAATCCTGTTCCAATTTCTACCGGATTGTTTTAGACCATAAAGAGATTTTTCTAGCTTACACACTAGACCTTCCCCTCTTTCTTCATAACCCTCTGGTTGTTCGATATATATTTCAGAATCTATATGAGCGTGTAAGCTGTTTTTACATCCATCTGATGCAGTAGCAAGTACTCCTGTGCTGCTTTCTGTAACAACACTCTTACACTCGTCAAGCTGGCCGTGGGGGAAAAAGTCTCTCCATAGTCAATCCCCATCCTCTGGCTATAGCCTTTGGCCACAAACCTTGCTTTGTACTTGTCCATTCCCTCAATATCACTTTTGATAGAGTAAACCCATCCTAAGCCAGATGCTTTCCACTGAGCGTCCTCAAGTGTCTGTGTGTGTGTGTGTGTGTGTGTGTGTGTGTGTGTGTGTGTGGTGTGTGTGTGTGTGTGTGTGTGTGTGTGTGTGTGTGTGTGTGTGTGTGTGTGTGTGTGTGTGTGTGTGGTGTGTGTGTGTGTGTGTGTGTGTGTGTGTGTGTGTGAATATAACTCGGCGCTATTATAGAACGAAAAAAGCAAACATCAAGAACTTCAAAGTAAAAGTCTTTAATTCTTCAATTTAAAAAAGGAAAAAGTCCCGTCAAAATAACGAGATGATCCAATCAGACCTCCAGTGCTCTGTCACTTATTTCATCAAATAGATTACTAACATATTTGTATATAAAGGAGAAAATATCATACATAAGAACAAAAATATACAATAAATATATTACACTTCCAATAAATTCAATAATTATTTATTTTTGCGATACTTTTGAGAATAAATATAAATACCATTTTAACTCTCATTGCAAACAGTTGATTAGTGGAAAGCTTTAAAAACATGAATTCACATTCCCTCCCTCCCCCCCTCTGACATCTCTCCCCTGACCTCTCCACCCTGCCTCCCACCTTACCCCCCTGCCCCAAATGGTCCTGGACTTTAACCCCCCCCACACACACACACCACACACACACACACACACACACACACACACACACACACACACACACACACACACACACACACACCACACACACACACACACACAACCTTATTATTATTATCAGAACCCACAGAGCAGAAAGAAGGGGTGTTCTTTTTTTCATGAGGACAGAATCTGGGAACGCTTAATGATCCCAAATCCTGTCACAATGCGGGGGAACCCTGAGACACAGGGGAACCCGATACAGTGACATGACATTTCATTTAAGTGGACTTCTTATCCTCTCTAATAACTGATCTAATAACTGTTCTAATAACTGTTCTAATAACCTCCTCTTCCTCCACAGCCCCCTCCTCTTCCTCCACAGCCTCCTCCTCTTCCTCCACAGCCCCCTCCTCTTCCTCCACAGCCCCCTTCTCTTCCTCCTCCTCTTCCTACTTCTCCTCCACCTCAAATCGTAGCTTCAGTGTCCGGTTCTCCTCTCGCAGGCGGGCGATCTCCAGATCCTTCTCCTCTTTCTCCACATGGAGCTTTCTGTTGATCCTCAACAAAGTGACGATCTCCACATCCTTGTGGTCAGCAAACGGTTCCTTCAGTTCTCTCAGATCCTGGTTCTCCATTCTCAAAATGTCCATCTCTAATTCGTGCTTCATCTGCGTCTTGAGGAGATTTCCATATCTCAGGTGCAGGTTCTCCAAGTCATCCCTCAAGACGTTCCGCTCAATCTCCATATAATCCTTTACTTCATCACAAGGTTCCTTCTGTTCTTTAAGATCCTGGTTCTCCTTTAGCAAAGCGTCTATCTCGCCATCCTTTACTTCCTCACAAGGTTCATTAGGTTCTGTGAGATCCTGGTTCTCCTTTAGCAAAGCGTCTATCTCTCCATCCTTTACTTCCTCACAAGGTTCTTTAGGTTCTGTGAGATCCTGGTTCTCCTTTAGCAAAGCATCTATCTCTCCATCCTTTACTTCCTCACAAGGTTCTTTAGGTTCAGTGAGATCCTGGTTCTCCTTTAGCAAAGCATCTATCTCTCCCTTCTTTACTTCCTCACAAGGTTCTTTAGGTTATGTGAGATCCTGGTTCTCCTCTAGCAAAGCCTCTATCTCTCCATTCTTTACTTCCTCACAAGGTTCTTTCGGTTCTGTGAGATCCTGGTTCTCCTCTAGCAAAGCATCTATCTCTCCATCCTTTACTTCATCACAAGGTTCTTTAGGTTCTGTGAGATCCTGGTTTTCCTCTAGCAAAGCATCTATCTCTCCATCCTTTACTTCCTCACAAGGTTCTTTAGGTTCTGTGAGATCCTGGTTCTCCTTTAGCAAAGCGTCTATCTCTCCATCCTTTATTTCCTCACAAGGTTCTTTAGGTTCTGTGAGATCCTGGTTCTTATTTAGCAAAGCGTCTATCTCTCCATCGTTTACTTCCTCACAAGGTTCTTTAGGTTCTGTGAGATCCTGGTTCTCCTTTAGCAAAGCGTCTATCTCTCCATCCTTTATTTCCTCACAAGGTTCTTTAGGTTCTGTGAGATCCTGGTTCTTCTTTAGCAAAGCGTCTATCTCTCCATCGTTTACTTCCTCACAAGGTTCTTTAGGTTCTGTGAGATCCTGGTTCTTCTTTAGCAAAGCGTCTATCTCTCCATCCTTTACTTCCTCACAAGGTTCTTTAGGTTCTGTGAGATCCTGGTTCTCCTCAAGCAAAGCGTCCATTTCTCCATCCTTTACTTCCTCACAAGGTTCTTTAGGTTCTGTGAGATCCTGGTTCTCCTTTAGCAAAGCATCTATCTCTCCATCCTTTACTTCCTCACAACGTTCTTTAGGTTCTGTGAGATCCTGGTTCTCCTCTAGCAAAGCATCTATCTCGCCATCCTTTACTTCCTCACAACGTTCTTTAGGTTCTTTGAGATCCTGGTTCTCCTCTAGCAAAGCATCTATCTCTCCATCCTTTACTTCCTCACAAGGTTCTTTAGGTTCAGTGAGATCCTGGTTCTCCTTTAGCAAAGCGTATATCTCTCCATCTTTTGCTTCCTCACAAGTTTCTTTAGGTTCTGTGAGATCCTGGTTCTTCTCTAGCAAAGCGTCTATCTCTCCATCCTTTACTTCCTCACAAGGTTCTTTAGATTCTGTGAGATCCTGGTTCTCCTTTAGCAAAGCGTCTATCTCTCCATCCTTTACTTCCTCACAAGTTTCTTTAGATTCTGTGAGATCCTGGTTCTCCTCTAGCAAAGCGTCCATTTCTCCATCCTTTACTTCCTCACAAGTTTCTTTAGATTCTGTGAGATCCTGGTTCTCCTCTAGCAAAGCGTCCATTTCTCCATCCTTTACTTCCTCACAACGTTCTTTAGGTTCTGTGAGATCTCGGTTCTCCTCTACCAAATCATCTATCTCTCCATCCTTTACTTCCTCACAAG